TCACCGGCGAGGGTCCCACAAAAAAAAAAGAGTGAGGGCAGGACAGCCCACTGAAGTACAAGACCCCAAGTTCATGGCTGAGCATATCAAAGGCTTGTTTTTCACTTGTATCACATCTGACGCAGGTTGTGAGCTCTCCAAGCAGCAGCTTGGGATCTGGGCTGCTTCCAGCTTGTACTGGGGCCAGTTGAAACATGTGGCCTCCCAGTGTTGCCATAGCAAGAGAAGAGAGGACCTGAGGAGTAAGTGGGATCATGTTAAGGAACCGGCCTTGAAGTGACTACATCACTCCAACCTACATCCCATTGATCAGAGTCTGGTCATCTGGCCTCAGGCCAACTGCAGGAGAGGCCGGGAAATGAATGTGGAGGACATGTGGGCACTTGAAGAGCAGCAAGTCTCTGCCAGGAGGGTTCTCTACAACATTACCCACATAGTTTATTATAGGACATTTTGATATTCAGCCTAACATGTGAGAAAAATGGTACCACGTATCATTTCAATTGGCCCTTAGACACCTTCTTTAGGCCATTACCCTCAATACCCATAGCAGATTATGTTCACACTCAAGACACACTCCAGTGGACTTGCCCAAATTTTACCAAAATCAAAAAAAAAAACCATTTTGTGGGGAAGCCCCAAGACTTTTTAAATTTTGGCTGTTATTCATGAAAACATATAAAGGCATGTGAGTAATAATATAAAATTAGCCATGTAAAGGTCTTTGCCAGCTGTGGTGTGGAATGGATTGCCAGCAGTTCTGTGCAATTTCCTAGGCTCGCTGTAACCCCACCTTCTCTCGTTCATGAAAGCACTAGCCAAGTGAAGGAGAAAGGTGGAATTATAAGGACCTTGTATCCACTGCAGTTCTTATCATAAAGCAACTTTTTTGTTGTTGCAAATGTTGATGCTTTAACTCTTCTTAGTGACCTCCCCATTAATTGTAATCTGGTGTTTTGTTCAGTAAGGGACTTTATGGGTTAAGTAACGGCTTGGAAGATGGATGGATAAGGCATATGTGCTTGAATGGAGCATTTGTGTAAGAGGAGACTTGGAATTTCAGCTGGCGTTGTGGGGTGATGTCACATAGGAGAAGGCCAAACTTATTTTGTTTGGTAGCCAAACAAAAGGATCCTGTAAAGTTGGGAGGGCAAATTAATTTTATCTCACTTGCCAACTCTCATGGCCATTGTATACAATAGGTGCTATAAATGCCCACAATTTGCAGATGAGGAAACTGCAATTGTAGGGCCCTCATACAAGGTTATGTGACTTCAGAGATTATAAATGAAAAGCAAAGAAGCCAAGAGCACCCATAGGGGTAGAGAGAATCATTGCTAACATGTTCATAGTTCCTGAATATTCTCCAGGGTGCATATATACATATATATATATATATATATACACACACACATATATATACACACACACATATATACACACACATATATACACACACACAAACATGCACACATACATTTGTGTGTGTATGTGTGTATGCACATATTATTTTGACAAAATGGAATCCTACTTTGGTTATTGTGGTATCCTTTTTTTGTTCAGCAATAAAGTAACTTGAGGCCAACATTCTTTTTTCAAGCTGCTAATCAAGTGTCTTCTATGTGCCCAGTACTCCGCTTGCACTGGGAAAGAGAAGACCCATCTCCAGGAAGCCACAGTGAACTATTCAGGACAGTGTGTGAGTCCATTCATTCACTTTGCAAATATTTTTGAGCCCTGCCATATGCCAGGCGCTATGCCAGGTGCTGTGGGTGCAGCAGAAAATGAGGCTGCCATCCAAAGAAAGAAAGCAGGGATCCCCCTAGAGTCCTTTACTTCCCTTACCTCTCCTTGTCCAGGGGTATCATTACATATTGATTTACTTTTTTACAGTGGAAAATATGTACCATAAAATAGACTGTTTTAACCATTTTTAAGTGTACAGTTGAGTGGCATTCAGTACATTCCTACTGTCATATAACTATCACCATGGCTCATGTGTACCACTTTTCATCTTCTCAAACTGACACTAGGTCCCCATTCACACTCCCCCAGGTCCAGGCAACCCCTCTTCTACTTTCTGTGTCTGTGACTCTGACTGCTCTACTGCCTCATGTAAGTGGATCCACACAGTATTTGGCCTTGACTGTCTGACTTATTTCACTTAACATGATATCCTCAAGGCTCATTCATGATGTGCCTGTCACTAACATTGCATTGGCTTCCTTCATGTCTCCCCAGGCCTGTCTCCCCTCTTTATCTCCTGCTGCCTTTGCTCAGGCCACCTTCTCGCTCCTAGACCACTGCAGAAGGAATGAACTGGACTCTCGGCTTCCAGTCCTGTCCAATTCCAGTGCAATTTCCATGTCACTTCCAAACTGATCTCACATTGCTCCTTTTAAGTTTCAGATTCAGTTTTAAAACTTATTAAAGCACTTGTATGCTTGTCAAAGATACAAGTAGTACTAAAAGGGTACCAAGTGAAAAGGTTCATCACTTAATATTCCGTTTTTGTAGTCGCGTGTCAGCCCTGTCAACCCCCGCTGGCTTGCTCATCACAATATCATGCTATAGCTGCTTAGCCAGTCGTCTGGCGAGACTGGGAGTTGCTTCTCGCATGTTGGATTTCCAGGGCTGGGTACATATTTGGCCATGAATCTTGGCCCACCTCCTGGTCAGTTCTAACCAAGCCAACAGACACCTCCCCAGCCTACGTGACTGCGTGGTCACAGGCATCTGCGGGTTCCTGACCAGGCAAGTGCAGCAAAGCCCAGAGCAGTGGGTCAGCTCCCACCTGGTCCAGGATCCAGGCTCAGCACTAGAGGTGCCTTCCCTGAAGGGGAGACCTGGGACTGTTCCCTGGGGCCCTATATTCCATGTAGCGGTCAGCTTTGGGGTTTGCACAGGATGTGTCTTTCATACAACCGAACAGGCCGCAGTGAAGTGGCTGTGTCAAATGGGCATAGAGAATGTGCTCCCCCACATCCATGCATAGCAACTAGTGGGCAACTACTGCTGGTAAGGGTCAGGACTGGCCCTTGAGGGTCTCTGGCACCCCCCACCCCCACCTGGCGGGCTCAGCCCCCCATTCACTGTGCAACTTTAGCCCACAGGTCCTCACACGTCCTTGGATGTTCACTGCTGCTCAGCTGACACACACCTTGACCTTTGGCCATGTCTGCCCTGTCTCTCTCCTGCCTGAGCTTGGAGATGTGCCCCTATGGAGGTCATGGAGGGCTTTGTTCTTGGCAGAGGAAACGGGGGCCTAAGATGAGCAGGTGGTCCAGGAGTAATGATAACCCTGAGCCACACAGGGGAGCACCGGGGCCCGGCTCACTCACGTCCTTCTCTTCTTTCACTGCTTTTTACAACAGCCTCTGGGCATGTACTTCCTGATCAGACACTAGACTCCAGATATTGGAGGTTGTATCCCTTCCCAAACCATCTCTGGATAACCGCATGCAAAGTAAAAGCTAGCCAAGTCACCGGATGGATTTCGGGGCTCCCCCAAGGAAGATAAAATGCAGGCAGGCCCAGCATTTGAGCTTCTCCGATCCCTAATTTTCCAGTGACCTTCTGGGGGGTTTCCTGTACTACCCTCTGCCTCCACTCTCCAGGGGATTCAGAGGCAACTAACAGAGTCCTCTGGGGTCTCCCTCCTAGGTGTTTGGTGACATGGTATGGCAGGGCACCCTCCTGGTCCCCAGGGCTATGGTTGAAGGATTGTTTCAGAGTTTTCCCACAATGGCTTTGCTGCTCCTGTCTCTGCCACCTAGCCTCCAGCTCTCGTCCTCCTCAGGCCCTCTTCTCTGTGACTTTGTGCCCTACCTGACAGAAACACTGTCTGAGCACGACCTGTGGCAACTGAGGCCCCATCCCCACCGTGCTCGTGGCCCTGACCTAGTGAGGGAGTGGAGTTTTGCTGCCTGATGCAATGTCTGGCAGGACATGTCCCTTATCAGAGTTGCATTCGCAGCTGACTTGGGCCCCACCTTCTCCAGGCGGAGGCCAGGAGGCTCTGCAGGCCATTCTTGGCCTCAGTGGAAGGCCGAAGAAAGCCAAGGCCTGCTTGGGAGCCATCCAAGTAGAATACTGTTGTATAGTAAGGGCCCCTTGCCAGGTCATGAGGGAGGCCTGTGCAGAAAGGTCCCAAGGGAAAAGCAGGGAAGGGAAGCCTCCCCATTTGTTTCCAGGCCTCAGCTCACAATTTTTCTTTCCATTAATCCCTTGCTAAGATTTGCCTGGAGATACCCTCCCTGTCATTAGTAGGGAGCTATTAGCAATTTAAGCCATAAGGGGCTTAAACTGAACACCCCTAGGGCTCAGTTTCTTCATCCTCAAAACAGCACCCCATACTGATATGACAACTCAAGTGAAGTTTTGCCCACGGTATACACCCCTGTGTCCATGCCCACAGTATGCCCCCCAGTACACTCAGCACATCACAGCATCCACGCTCACAGCGCGTGCCCATGGTCCGACCAGAGCCCCCCCCCGGCTCACACACACATGTCCACTCATACAGAGAACAGCGGCTTTTACTACTTCTTCATGTCTTCCCTCCACTTAGGATGATAAAGCATCTCACACTGAACTAAATACTTTGGAAAAGGCGTAGGGAGCATCTACTCTGTGGCTGGGGCACCCACAATAATACACTGGGCTTCTGGGCACTGGGAATACAGAGGTGGAACAGACATGGAGCTGCCATGCCGCTGGAATAGGCATTTAGGACATTTCCCTCTAGGAAGAAAATAAACCCACAGGCTGAGAGGGAAAGCGGTGGGGAGAGAGGAGGTGGTTGAAGTGACATGGCTTTCAGGAAGAACTCCCGAGGAGGGGACATTTGAGCGGAGCATTTGGTGTGACCAGGCCCGGGGCCACCTGTCCCTCCCTGCTCAGAGCTGGCCTTCACCATTGGTTCTGGTGCCCTTGCTCTGTGACCTCTGCTGGCACCCCAACAGAGGGGCGACGCCCTTTCCTTTGGCTGTCCTGTTACTGCTGGGTGTTGGAGGAGGAAAGGTATCAAGTACTCCCCTAGGAAGGGCATCTGCCAAAAGAAGTAAAAACCTTTCATTCTTCCCATGAGCCAGGTGAAGGAGGCAGAACTAGCCAGGACACCATGAGTTTTGGCTGAAGGTCTGATGTCACAGATGTCACACACCCACTTTTTGCAGAGGGCCTCCCCGCAAGGCAGGTTCAGCCCAGAACTTTCCCAGGTGATCCCCCTCCTGGCCCTGACCTCCTCCCTTGTCACCCTGTGACCTCCTGGCACCTGTGACCTTCCCCTAGGTCTGGCAACCACCCACACTCCCCCTGGGACCTCTGCACGTCCCTCACTTGCGGCCCACCCACCGCCCAGCTTCCAAAGCTCAACCCCGGGGCAGCTGCCGGGGGCAAGCAAAGGAGCCAACAGCCGGCCTTGTGTTTCTTGTCAGAGACCTTTCTCCTGTTTCTTCCTTTTAGGGTGGTGCTGGGAAGGTTCTTGGGAATCTTATGTTTTTCAGGGGTGGGGGAGAAACTGGGACAGCAGCTCAAAAATGGAATTAATGCCAGAGGGAGGAAAGGCCACGAAACTTCTAAATCTTACTAAAATCCGGAAAGGAGAAGACAGAGGAGGCAACTCCCCCAGCCCTGCCCTTGCCTTCTCCCCACATCATATTTAATGGTTATTGCTCCTCTCAGCAACCTTACGCAGTAGGCACTGCCCTTTTCATACTACGAGTGATGGAACTGAGGTCCAGGGAGGTCACGTATGCAAAGTTATATGTGGCAGGGTAGACACATGAGAAAGATAAGAACCCGGGATGTCTGGCACTAGCTCTTTCTCCTTCCTGAACATCATTAGCCTCGAGGAGCTAAAAGTCAGGATTTAAAGTTTTGTGCTCTGCAGACTTGATGTTGGGTCTCCCCTTCCAAGAGGACAGGAGGCCTCTCCCCACCACAGGCTAAATGGGTGCATAGGGAACATGGTCCTGCCCATCAGTCTGCGAACTCTTGCTAACGGTCTGCCAGGTACGAGCCAGGCCTCAGTGATTTGTTGGGCAGCTGGCATGTGCCAAGTGCCATTCGAGATGCTAGTCTAGACTTCAGAGAGCTTGCAGTCTGGGAAAGGGAGACAGAGTGTTGTTTGGAAAGTGTTTGGATGTGCAACGGCGGCGTCATGGGGGAGCCTGATTGGGGCTAGGCCTGGGAGGAGGTAAAAGCTGGATGAATCTTGGACGAGTAACTTAGCCTCTCTCAAGCTCAGTGTCCTCATCTGTAAAATGGGATGATAGTTGCTACTTAATAGGACTTTCATGAGGCTTTGATGAGGAGATGCCAACCAAGTACTTAGTATTTCATTGGGCACCCAGAAGTAAGCACTCAGTAAGCTGGAGCTACCATCTGGCTCCAGTGGGCCCTTCCAACCAGAGTATAAACCCAGAGGGCACAAACTGTGTCTGCTTGTCCACTTCTGTGTCCTCAGTGCTTAGACCAGAGACTGGCACATAGTAGGTGCTAAGAAAATACTTGTTTTATGAATGCATGGAAAAAACCTAGACGATTTAGGGAGAGACAGGAATATTCCAGGTGCTCTAGAGCTGACATAGCATCCCTCTTTCCTGCTAGACCCCTCTCCACCCACCCACACTCAGGCAGTACCCCCAGTACACCCTCAGGGAGAGCCGCCTGCAGGCCCCATCACCATGCTGCCCTGCACACCTGAGGGCTCCACTCCAGCTGCCAGGATACACATCTGTTGCCTTATTTGCAGAACCCTAGCCTCAATGCTTTCTTCAAAGGACAGACTTCTGGCTGCCTCAGAAGACACTTCCTTTGTGTGATAAAGGTACAGCCCTGGGACCCTCCTTTCTGCTTTACCCCTCCCCCAATGTCAACATCAGCTTTTTCTCTTGGGAAAATCCATCTTTTCTACAAAGAGGGATAGTTCTGAATGCCATGCATGAGGTCACAGTAAGATTTTTCCAGAGTTGAAGCAGATTGTCTCCCATGGATGAAGAGAGAGACTTTCAGGAGGGGTGCTGGAATGTGGGGCTCATGATGCTGGCCACGCATGGATGTGACCTGTTGATGGTGATGACAATGAATGAAAGAGCTATGAATCAGGCTCCCCTGGGCAATGCTGTGTTTGGTCCAGCTTTAAAAGACATATACAACTTGTGCTGTGGGTCATGTTCCCTTTATCTGTTCTGGCATTCAGCAACTGTGCATGAGTCTGTCCTGTGTGCCTGGCCCAGTGCTAAGGGATAATGAGGGATGCAGAAAAACCGCCCATTTCCACAAAGGCATGATCCTTGAACAAGTTCTACAAGTGGGTTGGCTCCGTGACGGATTCTTTGGGGCTAAGGGAACCATTGTACTGTGATGGGACAGGGATGGAAAAGCCCTGTCTGGGGGAAGACTGCCCCAGAAGCTGAGATCTGAAGGCTGAGACCATGTTAAGGATTTTGATAGAATTTATGAGCTGTAGTGAGTTTTTTCTCCTTCACTTAATTTTTTAAAATTTACATATCTCGGGTCTCCGCTGGTGGCGCAGCGGTTGAGCGCTGGGCTGCGAGCGCAGCCTCTGCAGCGCCAGTTCAATCCCTGGCCTCCAGCGAGGGTCCCACATGGCGCGCAGACCTCTCCTGCCGCGCCCGCTGCTCCCCTCAGCAGTGTGTTTCATCAGTCTGCCTGTTCTGTTCCCCGCTCTGGTTCTGGTGAATTCTCTCACTCTCCCGAGCTTTTGACTGTACCCAGTGCTTGTATAAATAAATAAATCTTAAAAAAAAATTTATACATCTCCATGGTAAAAGGTCTAATAGTGCACAATGTTACACAGCAATTGAAGGCTCACCCCACCCTCCTCTCCTGACCTACCATGTCTTTGCTTCCAGGCATTATATACACCTATGGCCATAGTCCTTTTGTATCCAGCATCTGTATTTTTCTTCCACTTAAAGGTTTTTTTTTTTTGCAAATGGGATCATACTACCTCAGATTCCCAGTCTGGGAGGGCTTCCACCTCTCCTGCCACAAACCCAGGAGACAGTTGACAATGCCTGGAAACATCTTTGATTATCACATCTGAGTAGAGGGGATCTAATGATAGAGATCAAGGATGCTTACAAACATCCTATAGTGCACGGGACAACTCCCACAACAAGGAATTATCTTGTCCAAAATGTCAGTACTGCTGAAGTTAAGGGAACCCTATCCTGTGTAGTAGTCTGCTATGCTGTCTTACATACACACACATACATATATGTACACATACATTGTATGTTATAAATAATAGCTCGTTCACATCGGTACTTATAGATCCTCCTCATTATTCTTTGTGGCTACATTATAATCCATTGCATGTCTGCTTCATCATTTTTCATTTAGGTGTTCTGTTCTGGTCTTTTGCTATTGCAGACATTTATGACTCAAGGAACATTCTTTTCCACGTACAAGCCTTTGAGTTATGTGTGAGGTCAAAGGAGAAGTTGAAGTAGGCGAGATGGATGAATCAGAGGGTTTATTAGCATTTTAAATAACTTGATTTCAAGTCTCCTTGGGGCACGATCCATTGGGAGAGTGGATCTCTGGTCCTGATTGCTAAGCAGAGCCCAGAGTATCAAAAGTCTGGTGGAAAAGCTCCTATTGGTTCCTTATGTGCAGCCAAGGTTATCCTGACCACTTGTCTTTCCTTCCACAGGACCAGGTGTCCCCCATATGAAGACGAAGACAAGGAGCCAGGTTCTGAGTGATGCCCCAGAGCTGAGTGCCCATGGCCCCAACTTTCCCCATGGAGAAAGGACTCACTTTGCCCCAGGACTTCCGGGACTTTCTGCACAGTCTGAGGATGAGAAGCAAATATGCCCTTTTCCTCGCTTTTGTAGTGATAGTTTTTGTCTTCATTGAAAAGGAAAATAAAATCATTTCCAGGTGAGAGATGCAAACAAGCCTTCCTTATCAAGATGGGGGCAGGGCTGCAGGGATTTCCGTGGGACTGCAAGGCCACCCTCCATCAATGTCATCATGTCCCTCTGTGCGCAGGCAGTGGATACCAATACACATCATCATGACCTGGGCTCCAGGCTCAGGCAACCTGGGTTGCCTGATACCATTTAGCTGTGACAGCTGAGACAGATTACTTCAGCCTTCTGTATCTTGGGTTCTTTTTCTGTGAAATATGGCTAATGATGGGGCCTCCTGGTTATAAAGATTAAATGTAAAAGCATTTACCCAGTGCCTGGGGTAGCCAGTCCTTGCTGGCTGTGGTTATTCTTACTGGCCTAGGATGATATCTCACATTAACAGCACATCCACTAGCCAGTTGGAAGTCACAGATGACGATGAGTCTACAAAAGGCAGGGCCCTGGTACAGATAACAGATAACCTGGTGGGCAGGGCTGCGATGTGCAGCTGCCCAGGTTGTGTACTGCTCCACTGGGGAGTGCAGGGCTATACAGGGAATGCTGCCCCCTAGCGTTGACAGTGTACCGCTGTGTGCAGTAGCCCTGCTAGTGGGCCTGCTAGATAAAGAAAGATTTTTTTAGACTCCCTCTGGCAGGCACAGCCCCTGTGAAGAAGCATCAACCAAGATAGGTAGGATAGGAACTGAGCTGTGTAGGTTCCCCCAGTTGGACTGAGCGTTTTTTGCTCACAGGAGTAGCCTGCTCAGCCGTTATGGACTTTTTTTCTTCTCCTGCCTCACCTCCCTGCCTCTCTACCAGTTCTTATGTGATCATGTCTCAAACTACGTCCATAAAAATCCTTGCCTCAAAGTCTCAACTAAGGAAGTTGAAACTCAACTAAGACAGGCTTTGGGTGACCAACCTTGGGAGACCGCTTAGGGTTGCACGGGCGAGAGCCCAATGACCCTCATCTGCCTTTGTCCTCACAGGGTCTCGGACAAGCTGAAGCAGATCCCTCAGTCCCTAGTAGATGCCAATAGCACTGACCCAGCCCTGGTCTTGACTGAGAATGCATCTCTCTTGTCCCTGAGTGAGCTCAGTCCAGCCTTCACCCAGCTGCAGAACCGCCTGCGAAACCTCAGTCTACAGCTGGGCGTGGAGCCAGCAGAGGAAGTCAAAGGGCAGGGGAAGGAGGAGGGAGAGCCGCCTGCACCCTCCCAGGCCCGGCCTCGGCGCCATGTGCTTCTCATGGCCACTACCCGCACCGGCTCCTCATTCGTGGGGGAGTTCTTCAACCAGCAGGGCAACATCTTCTACCTCTTTGAGCCACTGTGGCACATCGAGCGCACGGTGTCCTTCGAGCCCGGAGGCGCCAATGCAGCTGGCTCGGCCCTGGTCTACCGCGACGTGCTGAAGCAGCTCTTCCTGTGTGACCTGTACGTCCTGGAGCATTTCATCAGCCCCCTGCCCGAGGACCACCTGACCCAGTTCATGTTCCGCCGGGGCTCCAGCCGCTCCCTCTGTGAGGACCCAGTCTGCACTCCCTTTGTCAAGAAGGTCTTCGAGAAGTACCACTGCAAGAACCGCCGCTGCGGCCCCCTCAATGTGACCCTGGCCGCTGAGGCCTGCCGCCGCAAGGAGCACATGGCCCTCAAGGCCGTCCGCATCCGGCAGCTGGAGTTCCTGCAGCCTCTGGCCGAGGACCCTCGGCTAGACCTGCGTGTCATCCAGCTGGTGCGAGACCCCCGGGCCGTGCTGGCCTCCCGCATGGTGGCCTTTGCAGGCAAGTACGAGACCTGGAAGAAGTGGCTGGCAGAGGGACAGAACCAGCTGAGAGAAGAGGAGGTGCAGCGCCTGAGGGGCAACTGTGAGAGCATCCGTCTGTCTGCAGAGCTGGGCCTGAGACAGCCGGACTGGCTGCGGGGCCGCTACATGCTGGTGCGCTATGAGGATGTGGCCCGCAGGCCCCTGCAGAAGGCCCGGGAGATGTATCACTTTGCAGGCATCCCCCTGACCCCGCAGGTGGAAGACTGGATCCAGAAGAACACCCAGGCAACCCAGGACAGCAGCGGCATCTATTCCACACAGAAGAACTCCTCAGAGCAGTTTGAGAAGTGGCGCTTCAGCATGCCCTTCAAGCTGGCACAGGTGGTGCAGGCCGCCTGCGGCCCTGCCATGCGCCTCTTTGGCTATAAATTGGCACACGATGCCGCCTCCCTCACCAACCGTTCTGTCAGCCTGCTGGAGGAGCGAGGCACCTTCTGGGTCACGTAAGGGGCCTGGGGCCACATGCATCCCTCCTCGTATAAGTCCCGCCCTGCCTTCCTTACACCCAGGCGTGCGGTGAACCAGTGGCGCTTGCAGAGGGCAGGCGGCGAGCCATGCAGTAAGCGGCAGCCCCTCTGCTATAGAAATAGGCCCCTAGCCAGCTCGCTTTCCCAGCTGTGGGTCTGGAGGTATTTTTTTGCTGAGAATAGGACAGTGCTTGTTCCTTTGAGGACTATCAAACCCAGGCCTAAAGGGCTTCAACTGCCTGAGCAGCCCCAGGAAGACCCAGGCCTTCCAGCTGATAAAGCCTGCCCCTTTCTGTCTCTCTCTTTCTCTCACTCTCTCTCTCTCATACACACACACACACACACACACACACACATATTCAGAAAAATAAACATGAAACACGTAGGCCCTGTCGGCCAGAATACAAATATTTTTCAATCAGAAGGGGTCGTGGGCACTGGCCAGCCACAGTCGACCTCCCGCTGTGCTCAGTATTAACCTTGCAGTTTCTGAATTTCTTTGCAATCCTGACTGGAATCTGGATGGTCCCTGGGAAGTGGCTGGGACCACCCAAGGCAGCAGAAGATACCAGCTGAGGCTTATCAGGAGGCAGCAGCTGTTTACCAGCCAAAAATGACTAGATATTTTGATTAATGGGATAGCTGATTACTGACGAAATCAACCCTGTGTAGAGCTACGACGTATGCACATAAATACCTCCACACCCCAACATGGAGAGACAGAACAACATAAAAACAGATACGTACACATGCACATATACACTTAAACTTCTTGTTGCTTTCTGCCCACAGGGTTTATCTCTATCACACTTCTGAAGAGGAGCCTTTAATTACATTTTTAGAGTTATTTGGAGGTAGAGGAAGGAAACATGGTCATGACCATGACCTCATTCCCTGACCAGGTTTGGGACTGAAAGTGGGTACAGAACTGCCACGTTTGTGGCTCCTGCCACCTGGATTCTCATGGCTACCTCCTGAGGCCCATCCACAGCCTCGATAGGTACCAGCAGGCAGTATGCATTGAAAGGGCATGGCTCCCTCTAAAATCATGTCCATATTTGAAGGCTACCTCAGGCCTGACTGGCAAAGCAGCTGTGGTCCCTGGAGGCAAAGGGCAGCTCCCAGGTCCTGCTGTTTTCAGCCAGGCCTCAAACTGGGGCCGCAACCAGAAGAAAGTACAGAGTGCTCTTGGGGAAGAAGTCACATCAGGATACCCCATCCCTTGAGAAATTGGGGGATAGAGGTCAGCCTTGTTAAAGGTTGCCATAGTTACGTGGTCAGTGTCTGGAATTCCTCCTTTAGGGCTCTTCAAAGAATGTTGCTTATCCTGAGATGGGCTGGGTGTTTTACTTGTTTTTTTATTTTAAGTTATTTATGGTTTGGTGTCTTGTTTTATGGCTGTGTTTTTGGTTTTGTTTCTGCAGTTGTGCCACTTCCAAGCAGTCAGGCCTGAAGGGCTGGCGGTGGGGAGCCGGGTCAAGGCAGGGGAAAAGCTGGGAGAATCAACAAGGAGGATTCTGGCTCCTTGGAGTGGGAGGAGGAAGAGACTTCCCCTGGAAGGATCAGAGTCTAGGTGGCCCTCAGTGCCCCACAGGCTTTCCTGTTTGAACCCCATGTGGAACAAATCTCAGAAACCACCAGTGTTCTTTGCTGAGCATTCAGAAGTGGCATAAATTAGCAGCCCTCACCTCCTCTCTGAGAAGAGGCCAGATTTTAGAATCTCTCCCAGGCCCTAGCACATTTCTGGAGTGTCAAGGGCCTATGACTAAGCGAAAAAAATAGGAGCAAAACTCCCTAAAGAGGAAGCCTCTCCCCACTCCTACTCCAAACCCAGGAGCAGAACTCAGCACCACCTCAGAACTGGCAGGGAGCTGCAACAGTTCACTGAAGGCTGTTTCTGATTTCCTGAACAACCTCTATGTCAGATCTGTCCCGTTGTCAAACCCAGAGGGCTGAGTTTTAGTTTGAGGATAATGAACACCAGGGAATTACAAGCCCCGGGTCCAGCTGATACTGCTGTGGGTTAGAGATGAGTATGTCCTGGTCAGAAGCAGCTGTCTGTAAGGTGAGAACAGCAGCCATCTATGGAACCTGTTATGATCAGTTTATTTCAGCTTCTGGGTCTCCATGGACTTCAGCCATTCACTGCTTGAGGTTTTTCAGTCCAAGAATAGGTTGTGCAGGGAGCTGGCTCTAATGTGGGGTTCAAAGGGACTCCAGTTCTGAAAACTTGACCCAGGGGCAGAGTATGGGGCCAGGATGTTTCTGGCAGGTCCAGAAATGCTGCCTCCCTTCTTCTCCACCTGGTGCAGGGGCAAGGGGTAGGGGCAGGCACCTCCATCCAAGGCTCTTCCCTGGGCCTTCCTAGCATAGACAACAGAGTTCTTCCTTCCAGTGCCGCTGAGGCCAAAGCCTCCATTCCTCAGCACTGAGGACAATACAGAGAATGGACCTTTGGGACTTCTCAGGACATTGACATTTTGTACACTGCAATTTGACTTATTTATTTTGTGAAAAAGAAGAGACAGAAAATACCTTATTGTTTGCAGGGACTCAATGCTGTACCCAAATCAAAAAAGGCAAAAGAACAATAGAATCCATTCATTCACTCCATGCACACAAGGACACTCAAAGCCAATTCACAATACTAGAGGGGACTAGACCTCGCGCTCAGAAGTTTAAGGATATTGTTTAAGAAGATTCCTTGATTTCTCTTGTTGATTTGAAGATGTGATAGCAAGGCCCTTTCTGCTGCATGACCTTTGCCCATGTGCCTAAAATGACACAACTCAAGCCCATGTTGCCTTGGAGCTCAACAGTGCTCTCAGAATTCTTGAGGTTTTGGAAGGTCATCACTGACTACACTCCTTAGACCTGGCTGGAGTCCTGCATTTGGGGTGTTCAGCATGGAACTGGACTGGAAGAGGTGGTCCAGCTGGGGGCTGGTGCCTCCTTTTCCTGCAAAACCAGCCCCGGTTCCTCTGCTCCTGCTAGTGCTCAGCAACCTCCCCCTCCGCAGTGCCCACCTGCCTGGAAACAGGCAGAGCAGTTGAGGTCTCACCTCTGCTGGCCGCCAGCTTCCCTGAACAAGAGGCCCTTTCAGAAATGAGTACTTACTCATTTTCTTTTTCTTGATGAAGACATCTTTAGCCCAGCCTTTATAAATAGTTCAGAATATTCCAGGCCTTGGTGAGACAGGGCAGTGTCTAACACCCACAGGCTGTCACCACCACTGCCCATCCCAGCCATCTTTGGACCTTGTTTGTAAACCTTGGAGTGGACAAGGGTGGTGGAGACGGATGTGAGGTCTTTGGGAGCAGTGAATGGGGGTGGGGGGCAGTATTCCTAAATCTCCACACAGGAAAAAAAAACACAGCAAATATGCAGCTCCGTTGCACACCCCCTGCAAGATAACCCCCAAGTGTAACTGGGCAGGTCTAGCCCTTGTTCCCTTTATGTAATGCACACATTATATATGCATATATATATATGTGCATATATATATGCACATATATATATATATATATATAGCTAAATTAACAGGGAAAAATGTCCTCCCTGAGCCAGCACCCCCAGCCTGGACTGGTGTCATGGGGCAACTGCTGGCTGAACCCCCATAGCAGAGGGCACTTATCCAACCTATTATAGTGGCAACTTTGCCTCCCTCCTCTGCCACCCATCTGTGATGGAACGAGCTCTAGCAGGAGGTCAGGGAATCTGTCCCCGAAGATGAACACTTGGCCTGGAAGCAGACAGGAGATGTAGCGCCAGATGGTCTGCTCTAGACCCTGAAGTCTCCTTTCACACTAGGGCCTGTTTTATTTGACTACAGGGCCTGATCTTGATAGGCTCTGGATTATGAAGGACAGGAGCAGAGGAATAGCTGTGTGCTAAAGGCAGTCCCCTTCCACTGCCATCCCTAAAGACTGAAAACTAAGGCAGGCCTCAGGTGGATAGGTCCCGAAAGCAGGGAGAGAATGGGGTGGAGTGGGGAAACTGAAGCCTGCAGAAACCCAGGGGCTTGACAATCTGTAAAAACTTAAAGAGGGAGCATCTGATATCTAGGGGTCCCCAGTTGGTGGGTCTGCTTGTGAAGATTGCTAGGATGGGGTCCAGCTAGCCTCTCAACTGCCCGCAGTTTCAAAACTAGTGGAGGCTGCTCATTACCTCAAAAGGAGGAAGCAGAATTAACACCATCAAATGTCTTAAGAGCTGTCAGATCTTGCGTCCTTTGTCATCCCCTGGCTGCATGGGAGATGAATTTGCTCTGTGCTTCTGAGGATATAGACATGGTGCCATTCAGGTGGGCCTCACTCACGCTGTAGACCAGCTACTTTACTTGGGTGATAAAATGACCCGTGTATCCTGCTTCCTCCCACGGTGGACTTGAACTGTCACTCCTTTTCCATCTCTATGTTCCAGGTCAAGTTTGCTTGGGCCCCCTCCTCCAACCTGGATCCAGCAAACTGTCTTTTTGCCAAGACCTTGGCTCTGTGTCAGGTTTCATAACCACATGGTACAGGACTCTCAAAGACCATATGTGGCCTTGGTGTGTACATATGTGTCCATACCTGTTTGTGAGGCATTCTGCTCCCATTCTGCTCAGCCACATTGCTCCTAACCCCCTTGTTGTCGATGTCCAGATGTCCACACCATGGCCACAGTCTGCCATCTCTCGGAAATCCAGGCACTGCCCTTCAGAGAGCTGGCGGTCACTGCCGGTCGGGGTCTGCTTTGTGGAACAGAATGTGAACCCATCACCTGATGGCTTACTTGACTTATTTAATTAAAAGTGAAAACATGCAATGAGCAAAATCCGAAGTGTGTCACTTTTCATTTTTCCTCAGTAGCAATTGGGTTGTAAAAACATACATGTCATTTTTTAAAAAGTCATGTCAGTAAAACTGGGGAAAGTGGAAAAAAATTAACAGAAAAGAGATTAGTAGGAAAAGGGTGACTTCTAGCATAAAACAGAGCTGAGGAAACCCCAGCCCTCCTACGGGAAGTACAGATAAGTACAAAAGTGGTGAAATGAACATTCCTTATGTTCCCTGGAGGGCAGAGCTAGTGGTAACTGCTTGGAGTCAGCTGGAAGAATGAGGGCCAAGAGATAAATACCCAAGCACCGTGTGGGACACGTGTGGGACAGGAGCATCCACTAAAGGTCAGGAGATCTGGTGACAAGGGTCAGTTTTGCCACTATCGCCATGTGACCTTGGACAAGTCACGTCCCTAGTTTCCTTTAGAATGAGGGATGTAAATGGTGGTTTTCAACTATTGTTCCCCCAAAGTCCCATAGGGACTGAAAAGTCAGTGGAAAGGACAGGCAACCTCACCAAGAGCAAGTGTGGTTGATCTGCTTTACATGTTGAGACACCTGAAACTATATTGACAAACTCTCAAAAACCACATGAAGAGATTGCTAAGGACCCTTCATCAAGAATTGCCGTGGAGTCCTTTCAAATTGCCAAGACATTGCTCTGTCAATCATAACAGTTTTAGTGCAAGTTAGGGTTCAGACCTTGTGTCTCCTCCCAGCCATCTGGAAGGAATGGGGTTTTCCATGGAGAAGGTTCATCTTGGAATATGGGGAGACAGAGCTTTTGGAGCTTTGTGGGTTTGGGGACATGGGGGAAGCAATAACCGTGAAGAGGCAGGAGCTGAGCACTGGGGAAAACAAAACCTCGAGTGAGAGGGGTGTGGGTGAGCGTGAGACTCAATATGAGGGAAAGAGACCCCTTGCCACAAACTCAATCCTGTAACGCTGCCATTTCACCCAGCTCACACCTGGGGGGTCCAAACCAGCCCGCCCCCACCCCACCCACCCCTTAAAACATAGGAGCACAATGACATCTTGACCTGAGTGGAACCTCAGCCCCAGCCTGGTGCCATCGCTGTCTCTCTTCTGGGGACTGGATATATTTAGTTTAATTTCTGGGCTGTGTTTCCTACCACAAATGACCCCCTGGAGAAGCAAATTGCCCTAATCATAGAGCAGAGAAGCCTGGAAACCTCACCACCCACTCACCCCTTCAGCCACCAGCCAGGCTGGAAGCTGCCTTTCCTCCCCACTTCCAGACCCCTTGGGCTCCTGAATCTTCCTCCACGACATCCCAAGTTGCCAGACCCTGGGAAGAAGCTGAACACCCCAGGGATCCTGAGGGAGTGCCAGTCAGCCGGACCCATACCAGCAAGCAGTTTGGTGACCCCAGGGGCCCAGGACCTGTCCCATTGACTCACGGAGGCTTGCCAACTCCAGTGCTGGCCGGGCCCTGGCCTCTGCAGCATCATGTCCCCAAGTGTGTGGGGGAAACTGTGGTCACATAATGCTCTTAGGAAGCTACAGCACGCATAGCCTCTGAGAGGTCTTGCTTTCCTTGCACTGACCCAGTTACAGACTTCATTCACAGAATCATTTTTATGGATGAGATTCTTTTATCATGAAACCAGCTCCCATCCGCCCCACTTTTTTTTTGCCAAACAACACTCCCAAGCCTAACATTCTATAGAACAACTTATACCTACCAGAAACCTGCACGCAAAATTGTATAAGACTAAAAGTCAGGTAAGAAGGTGTAGGGGAGAGGCCGGGTAGGTGAAGGTGGTAAGTGAAGACACCGAGCTGCAGGCCAGGAGAAGGGGAGATTGTGGCAGCCTCGGGGGTCGCTGTGAGAAAGAACCCGCAGCTCTGAGGCCTCCATGCTGCTGTCACAAGACCTTCTAGTCATCCTTGGTCTTTGGCATCCTCAACTCAACCCACACCTGTGGGGCCTCTATTACCCCAAAGATGTGGTAACCCCCACAGAGAGTGGGGACGCAGGGGAACCAGGTTAAGCATAAATACCACAGGGCCTCCTGGGTAGCAAAAGGGTAGCAACCTATGAAGCTAACCGCAGCCACTGCAGCACGAATTCAATCCCCAGCCAGGGAGCTACCCACATGGTGCAGCAGACCTCTCCTGCCTCGCCCGCTGCTCCCCTCAGCAGTGTATTTCAGTACATCTGCCTGTACTGCTCCCCACTCTGCCTCTGGTGAATCCTCTCACTGCCCGCACCTCTGGCCTGTACCCCCGTTCTTGTATGCATAAATAAATCTTAAAAAAAAAAAGCATAGGGCCTCCCAGGTGGCGCAGTGGTTGAGGGCTGGGTTGTGAAGCTGCCCGCAGCTCTGTGGCGCCAGTTCGATCCCCGGCTGCTCCCCAACCAGCAGAGGAGGGTCCCACATGGCGCACAGACCTCTCCTGCCGCCCACGGCTCCCCTCAGCAGTGTACTTCGGTCCTTCTGCCTGCTCTGCTCCCCGCTCTGGCTCTGGTGAATTCTCTCACCCTCCCACGCTTCTGACTGTACCCAGTGCATGCATAAACAAAAACAAAATAAACAAACAAACAAATAAATAAACATGCCTCTATTAAAAAAAAAAAAAAAAGCATAATTACCACAGGGTGCTTATTGATCTGAGAAACTGGGAGCGTGGGCTAATCTTAAAGGAGCCATTTCAGAAGCAGCTAGACAAAAGTTACCAAGAGTGAGCAGGTTCCCTGGAGACAGCGTCCTCTAGTAGCTAGTAAATCCCTCGCTAAATACTGCTGTGCAGTTTATTGGAAGAACAAGCAAGTAGTAAAAGCTCAGCAGGAGAGAATTGCCCAAGAAAGTGAGAATGAGAGCAAGAAGGAAGTGCAGAGGAGTGAGGGGAATGGGAAGGGACGCTGAGGTGGGGACATTCTCATGAGACGCAGGAAGACGAGTTGCTGACAGGAACGCCCCAGAGGACAGCACAGCCACGAGGTCCACGTGCAGAGGGCGGGTGGGGCAGGGCAGGCCCAGGGGCACACAGCACCCTGCAGGCTGGCCCGGGAGGCGCCCCTGTGGATGTGTGGCCCACAACTGTCTGGTTTTGTTTTTAACAATTGGCATTAGAGGCCAACACTTAAAAATGAAGGAGCTGTATATAGGAACCAGATTTCTGCTTCCTCTCGAAAACAGGGTGTCTTGGTTTGAGTTACACCAGAAGCTGATGCAGAGACAGAGTTTGAGAGAAAATGGTTTATTTGGGAACCCCAGATAGCCCAGCAGGGCAGAGGGAGGGGGGCAGCCAGCACAGCCATGCTGGGAAGCCAACTGCCACCTTGGACAACTGGAGCAGAACCCACTGGGAGGGAAACATATAACTTCCTGCCTGGGAACCACCCTATCTGAGGGGTACGTGAGGGGCCCTGGGGTATTCCTACCCAACCCTGTCAGTCTTTGGCTGAATGAATGCTGCTCTTGGGGAGAATTAATTCTCCAGCACCGTCCTGCTGCAGAACAGCATTCTAGTATTCTGGAGAAAGCTGTTAGGTCCAGAAACTAAGGTCCAGGTAGTTGGAAGTTTCCAGAAATACATTTGAGGCGTGGGGAGGGATCTGACAGCACCTGCTTGCTGGGCTGGTCACTGGGGCTCTCCTCCCCACACTAATGGCTGCAGCTGGGAGATTGTAGCAGCCTCTTTAAGGGGAGACGTCTGGGATGGGGGCGGGTGGGTACACTCCCTCTGCTCTCTCCAACACTGAGGCAGTAAACAGCACTTGCAGATGATTTACTTTCAACGGAGACATTTATTCTGTGAATGCCTGTCTGTCCAAAGCAAGGAAGTGACAGGCCAAGGGTACCATAGCTACCACTCCTCATGGTAACACCCCAGCCCCCCACAAGCAGTTGAATTTCAACCCCAACTTAAAGTTTTGGTGGCGGGACCTCCCTGGTGGCACAAGGGGTTAAGACGCAGCACTATGAAGATATCCACAGCCACTGCAGCACATCCTTGGCCAGTGAGGTGACACACATGGCGCAGCAGACCTCTCCTGTCTCCCTGCTGCTCCCCTCAGCAGTGTATTTCAGTAAATCTACCTGTTCTGCTTCCCACTCTGTCTCTGGTGAATTCTCTCACACCCTGCATCTCTGGTCTGGACCCCAGCTCTTGTATGCATAAATAAATCTTTTTTTTTTTTTTTAAGATTTATTTATTTATACAAGCACTGGGTACAGTCAGAAGCGCAGGAGGGTGAGAGAATTCACTGAGCCAGAGCGGGGAGCAGAGCAGGCAGAAGGACCGAAGTACACTGCTGAGGGGAGCCGTGGGCGGCAGGAGAGGTCTGCGCGCCATGTGGGACCCTCCTCTGGTGGCCGGGGAGCAGCCGCGGATCGAACCGGCACTGCAGAGGCTGCGGGCAGCTTCGCAACCCAGCGCTCAACCGCTGTGCCACCAGGGAGGCCCAAACTTTTAAAAAAAGTCTTGGTGGCATGAAGGACATAATCCCCATCTACTAGGGAGTAGGCATCCCATGTCAGAGAATCTATGGTAGACTTGGCGTTATTTTTATACTTTCCACAAGAAATTCATGACACCAGTGTGACTTAATTTGTCATTCCCATCAGATCCAATGTCTGTGTCAGTCCTTCTCTGCATTTGACTGATGGGAACCAGTTTCCAATGGTTTGGGCTTCTCTGGTGCATATGTAACTTATCAACTCCTTTCTGCTAGAGATGGTGCAGTCACTCAGTTCGCAACTGCAGCAACAGTTGCCCTGAGGGGCTTCACCAATCTCCCTCACAGCTCCAGGCCCTCCACCATAGTGCACTCTAACTGGGACTCAGAAGCAGGTGACCAGACACCAGTTCCACAATGAGCTTGCTGTTTTCTCAGCATTGATGCAAGAGAAACCGTGGTCGTGTGACTCTACAAGCGGCATGGAGTGCCGAGGACATCGCTCACTGTGGAACACTGCCAAGCTTCTGGTCATCATCTCCCCTGGACGGGGTCCAGCAGAGAGGCTTAAAGTAGTTGAGCCTGAGGAACTCAGAGTTGACCCCTCCATGTCTTTTCTCAGAGGCTGCAGGGGGTTCAGGGCCTGCCCTGGTTACTGCTGGCAAAGCCACAAACCTCCTTCTAGGGAGTACACGGAAGTGGAATTTAAGTGACATCGGGTTCTTCTTAAACACACAGAGATACCATCATCTTTGCAAACTTCAGTAGTTGTGGAGCATGTAGGACACAGACACACACCTTGGAAATATTGCCAGTTTGGTTCCAAACCACCATAATAAAGCAAATATCACAATAAAGCAAGACACAGAAATTTTTTCATTTCCCAGTACATATAAAAGTTATGTTTATACTACACTGTAGTCTATTAAGTGTGCAATGACATTATGGCTTAAAATGTACATAACTTAATTGAAAAATAATTTATTACTAAAAAATATGACACAGGCACACGAAGTTAAGTAATTGCTGTTGAAAAATGGAGCTGATGTATTTTCTCAACACAGGGTTGCCATAAACTTTCAATTTGTGAAAAACACAATACCAGCCAGCACAATCAAAGTGCGCCTGAGGGGATCTGGCCAGCCTATCTGTTCTCAGTTCCTATCTCTATTTCCTCACTGCGTGACCTTGGGCGAAATACCCAAGCGCCTGTGCCATAGTGTCCCCAGGTGTGAAATGAGGTTTTGAATGGTAACTACCGTGATTATCACCCATTTTACTGAAGAGGAAACTAAGGTTTGGAGGGTTGAAGCAAGAGGGGATCTGAGGCACACGAAGGGATCCACATCTTCAGGTCTCTCTGCTTCCAAAGTTTGGCCTCAGAACAGCTGTGCCACACCATTGTGGCACAGTCATCTGCATGCTCTGGGCCTTTGG